ATGTTTAAGTCAAAGGCAAAGCAGACGGGCCGAGAGGACTTTACGAAAACTGGGATTTCGATATGGATGAACAGATAACCATTGACGAGGTAGAAAATGAAATAGTTGATGCCTTAGACCTACATGTGAATCCCTTCTTTAGACTCGTTTTTGTAGTTGGTGCAAAGGCAATAATATTATCTTTTATATTTTGTAGATAAAGAAATTTGCAGCAATACAGAGATACCTTTACCTGAGTGAAAAGGAAATAAAGACTATGTGAGCTAAGGACAAAACATCTACTGATTGTAATGAAGGGGAGCTACAACCTCGGACAAAAATATTTTTTTGAGAAGTTTTCATTCAAACATAAAATAGAACAATTGCCCTCAATATTAAAAATGTTTGATTGACCGTACCCCCTCCCCCCAGGACAATATTGGTTCCTGGAAACAACGATGTTTATAGGGAGGAAGGGATCATTTTAAGGGGAATTTTTAATGTTTTTCATGGAAATATCCATTGGAACTATAAATTTCTCAACGTTTTTGTCCAATAGTGTAGATCAAAGCGTAGATTTTCTGTACGTGACTGGGGTTTCTTGAATGTAAGATCTCAAGGCACATGACACTTTCACGGTACTCAATATTAATATATTAATAAAGGSTTAAATGAATTGGAATTAACAGTGGTCCCGTATAGTGGCTCTTCTTCTTCTGGATTCCAATTGGAATTTAGAAGTTGATCTTTGCCGAGGGAGAAAAACCAGAAAGCTTGGAGAAAAAGAAAAACCCTGAAGCAACGGAAAGAAACAATAGTAGAAACTCTACTCACAGTACAACACTGAGCCCGGGAATCGAACCCGGGTAGCATTGGAACACTCTCGCCGATATGCCATCCATGCTTTCCATGCAACATGCAATATAGCGCGCGAGATTACAGTAAAGCCAGCCCAACCAACCTGCTTTGCTACGGCATTATCGTCACACGACACGACAAGAATCATTTGGAGATTAAGCCCAGTTATTTGTTTTGTTTTTCGCATTCAGGTTTAAAACTCTAAATATGACAGAACTTGATGATGGTAAGTCTTATCTATTTCACAGACGATAAGGGAGAACGAGAGAAGGAAAAAGGGAAATTTGATTGGCTCTTGCACAAGGAAGCCAGCATTAGCAGAAGCTAGTTCTAATTTTTCGGCTTCGATGTGTGCTGTCCCTTTTTACGCATTTCAGTTAAAGTGGGATGACGGCGATGAAATCTTAATGTCTCCAATTTTTACTATTTAATTAAAGACACGTGAAGTACCTTACGAAAGAAGAAAACTGTATGGCGTTTTTGATTTCTTGTTAGCATTTTTGATTCGAGATATATTCAAGTTTTAAGTTTAGTATATGCTTATTAAGAGGTCGTCTCTGACGCATTTGAAAGTAAAAGAAAGAGTTTCGAAAGCAAGATATCACGGTTAAAAGTTGGTTAACAGGAAATCCTTTTTGTATTTTTGATAGATGTTATAACTCGCGAAGAGTTTGAAGACATGAACACGATGTTACTGGATAGCTATTTATATCAACTGAGTCAAACCCACCCAAAACACAGACAGAGATACAGTGATCAGGTCTGGTTGAACCAAAAGGAGCACGGTGGAATTATGGAGAAAGTTCAAGAAAGGTAGTAAMAACATTAAAACATCTGTAGTAAAARCACTACAYATCATTTCGTTTTGTCGACACCTTTTAATCTTTCTCTTTTTTTACTGTGAATGTCCCCCAAGGCGCGCGGTCAGATAGTMCGTTCACGCAACACCACACACCTACATCTGTCTTCATCTTGTCCACACCCTTTAATCTTACTTTTTTACTATTATGAGTGTTCACCAAGGCTGCAAAATAGTCTATTCATCCAACACCACACCCCAAACATCTGTCTTGATCTTGTCCACACTCTTTAATCTTACTTTTTTACTATTATGAGTGTTCACCAAGGCGGCAAAATAGTCTATTCACCCAACACCACACCCCAAACATCTGTCTTGATCTTGTCCACACCCTTTAATCTTACGTTTTTTTTACTATGGTGAATCTTCACCAAGACTGCAAAAATAGTCCACCCAACAACACACCCCAAACATCTGTCTTGATCTTGTCCACACCCTTTAATCTTACTTTATTACTATTATGAGTGTTCACCAAGGCTGCAAATAGCCTATCCACCCAACACCACACCCCTAACATCTGTAGTAAGCTCAACCCTAACATCTTGTCCACTCCTTTTAATCTTTCTCTTCTTTTACGTCTCTATGACTATTGTAACCGCTGCGCCCATCAACACCACCACCCTCTTGATACTGCATCTCGCCCTGCGAATTTCAATCCTCAATAGACGTCTTTAGCTTTGGTTTAATGTTTTCCCATTTYAGACCACGTGTCATTTCCCGGAGTATCATTTCTTTGTTGGACTATTTAACATAAGAAGACACATTCATATGGATAGAAATCAAACAAAGAATATTATTCTCAACAGAATGATGCATGATCTTAAATGGGCCAGGTTCATGCCCAATTATGCCCATACCACCTAACTTGAYATTTTCAGTGTTGATTCTACATAAAGTGAATGTTTGAATGGTAAAATATTTTTATACAATTTGAGTGATGCGTACTCCGGCCTCACACCTCCCTGATTGACCACAATTAATATATCTAACTATAATGTTTGTAAACTGGGACAATATGACCYATAGGTTGTGCGCATTCCTGAGATATTTCGAGATATTTATCGGAAAAAGATGAAAATARTAGGACACTGTTGTTTTCCTGCATATCTTCATTTTTTCGCGGTACATTTATCATGTTTTAGGGTACTAAAGCTCACGAATCTATCCAAAGAAATCATATATGGCAGCGAATTTGTTCAGGTGAATATGTTATGGTTAAATAATGGAACCTTTATTTAAACAGAATAGATAAAAGCTGGTATCCAGAGGGGTACTGTGGTGATCTATTAGGAAGTCGTGGAGAATTAARGACTGAAGCCCATGTTAAAGCATTAGTTTTAACTAGATTTGTTTTATGACCATTATTCTTTAATACGTAATGAATRTTTCTAATGGATCGATTCCTGGACTTAGCATCGCACGTAAGGAGAGTTTATTAGGTCTTTCCCTCCGAAAAAAAAAATACATAAGTCAAATTCTATCTTTGACTGGTTAGCCGTTCCCTGACTTTGATCAGCCCAGTGGTCGTTTCAGGGTTCAATCTGTGAGTTAGCCGTGTCCTGACTTAGCGGATCAGCCCAGAGGTTGTTTCAGGGTTCAATCTGTGAGTTAGCCGTGCCCTGACTTTGATCAGCTCACTAAAGACTGCTGGCTTTGAATCTGCCTGTTTCGATCAAATTTGAAGTTTTAGAGGTTGAAGATTCTTCTTACTTTCTAATGGGTTCTAGGTTCTTCGGTATGGAGTTGAAGGCCATTACCATGCACACTATGACACTGAAACCCACGAGCATCCCGAGATCCATTGCTGCCACCAAAAACCTGTCATCGATCCATCTAAACTAGGAACAAAGAAGTGCAAGCTATGCAGGTCAGTTTTTCTCTTCTTGGCATCAACTCTTGTGCCTTGCCGAGCTTCTTCAATGTTGTTGCGTCACTGGTTGCAAAGCGCGACTGTTGCTTTGTTTATTAATGGTAACTCAATAACTCTTTCTCCTTCACAAAGTTTGATAYTGAGCACTTCACATGGTCTATAATTTGTCGTCAAACGCTATCTCAAAGAAAAACTATTTAACATTAATTCTCATAAAGTTTTGCCGCATTTTAGGTATGATTGATGCACTGTAGAGTCGCCATGTCATACTTTATGCGTCTCCTTTCGTCCAACTTATCTTTAGAAGATTATGACATTTGTTTTCAAGCTCATTATTCCTTCTTTTAGGTATATTACTATCTTATTCTATTTGAATGACGTGGAGGAAGGAGGAGAGACTGCTTTTCCGGTAGCAGACAATGGTACACTCGACGCGAATGTAAGAACATCTTCAGTTAAAAACCATAAAGCCGAGATAAGCTGAAAACAATATCATCAGACTCTTGTTTCGTTGACTTATTGATTTAGCTGTTTATCCGTATTTATTTAATTAGTGGTTTTCATAGGTAAAAGTTTAAAGTCCTTTGTTATCACCAAGTTTCACACAGGAAATATTTCTGATGGAATAAAATCAGCGTTCTTAGAAAATCTTGGCGGCAYGGTGTCGTGTTAACAAAAGAAATAATACTCAAATATATGACACGGTGAAAAAGTTTTGCATTTCCCCCGCCCTACCACATGACTGTACTATCATTACTCTATAGAAAAGGCTTATGTCCTAAGGAAAATTTCTCTATAGCCTAGAACTAGTACTAAAGATGTTGCGAAGTGCAAAAATCCGGAGGGTGAAAAAAAATCGTTATATAGCGTATTTATATAAACCTATTAAAAAGTATTTAAACCAAATAGTACTAAATTGTGTGAAATAAAGTGGTTTTTCTTGGCCCGTCGTTAAGTTAAGTTAAAAATTTAAAGCAGCAGTGGAGCACGCAGTTTATAACTGATTTTATCGATGATATTTTTTGTYAGCATGTGTTTATGAACCGACAAAAAGGCAAAGATCTCCACAACATGAGCGAGTTCTGCCAAGCAGGGAACCTGGTCTTCAAACCAAAACAAGGAACAGCCATTATGTGGTATAACCAYCTACTAGACGAGGAATCGGACTGGATGGGTGAGCGAGATGCTTTCAGTCTACACGGTGGATGTAAGATCAGTAAAGGATATAAATGGGCCGCMAATTATTGGATAACAGCTCCTTATAAACATAATGCACATGAGAAGAGTATTTATTTACCTTGGGGTAAAATTCTGCTGGAGGACCCAGAAAAATATCAAGAATAGGTCCCACAAAATCGCTTACAACGAGACTAAAAGTGGACATTCCATAGCCCATAAACACCTTTCTCGAGGACATGTATCTAGTAGCATACTGAAAGCATTTATCTTTATGAAACGAAAGTGGATCATAGTGAACGGTGGGCGGGCAAAAAATGCGATGTCAGCATCGAAGCAAAACCTTCACCCTTTCTGAGTGGGGATGGATCGAACCTTTTCGACATTTTTTATTTCGCTTTAATTTTCTACCAAAAAACTAATATAATATATTTCTATCTTATCTAGGTCATAAATAAATATAAAGATATCGTCATAATGAGTACAATAATAAACAGTTATCAATCCTTCAATTCCTCACTATTCTTCCTAATATTTAGTCATTCCTGAGTCTCTGATGAGTCAAGGTAATCGGGTGCGTCGCCGTGAATAAGATAAGCCAAATTGCCCTCCAGCAACGCGATAAGCGTGTTATCAGTGCATTCAATGCGTTTAATCTGTGCATCATTTAACACTTTAAACACCTTACGCTGTTATCTTCTACAGCCTGAGCGAGAAGCTAAGATTAGACGCTTTCTAAATATTTACCAGGCATCGATCGTGGACGATAAGACTTGCTTTGATGTCCAACGTCTTACTAACTGTTCATTATCTGCGAATTTATCTTCTAAGATATCGTAAAAATCAAGGCAGAGATAATTTTCAGATGCGGAAAGTAAACTTGCATCGGTTTTGGTCATACAAATAAAATCAAAACTTGAAGATTAATGCAAACGGTTTATTCATAATAGACTCATAGCAACAGAAGTTAAGCTAAAATCATTTGAATGAAATACTTGCGTTTGACTATCCGTTTTCAGTGMATTTGAGTATAGGGCATGTTCTCTTCCCGCTTTGAAATCGTTGAGGATGAAACTACAATGACAAAAGAAATAGACATTTTTTCCCTTCTTTTGCAAACTGGGGAATGAAATTGAATTATTTTGGGAACTGCAGATTCAGAAAGTGTAAATGTTTGCGCAATTGATAGAAGACATTGACTATCACTCAAAAGCCATCCAAAAAAAGAATAGTTTACGCATGAACGACGTCAGTAGGCAGAGGGAGGTCAGAGTAGAATACCGAGGTTCTTTGAGCTTTTCGTATACGTGTTTAATAGCCTAAGATACTCTCTCTCTCTCTATCTATGCTCACGTCAAGGCTGTAGGTAAAGATAATATTCAATACTAACAGTATTAAAGATCATTTAACTCAAGCCATGCGTGAGTAGCTAATAATGAAGCATTACACGACTCTCTTGATTCCTGCCACCTACCTGACCTGATATGAAAGAGAAAAACTATGTCAAAGATCATGGTGTGTTATCGGTGCAAAAGATAAACTAATAAATCATTGGGATTGTTGTTTTCTCCCTAGGGGGAGGGGGTGGGTATTTTTAGTTTGAGGAAACCTTTGTCTATATTTTTGACCACAATTTTTATTTTATCAAAAGCTGTCCAAACTATCTGAAGTCTGAACATGACATTATCTAATTAATCGAGTTTCGGGTTTCGAGAGAAAAAGAAGACGAAGTAAATGGTTCTGATTCTGAGAATCATAGATGTAGCTACTATTCAGCTACTATGCAGACGCAAGCACCACAGAAACAATTAAACTTTTTCCAAAAAGTTTACTTGCTCGATCAAACAAAAAAATATGAATTTGTCGTACAACATGGATGGTAGCCGTGAACTACCTTAGTCCTTCGTTCTGCGCATTTCCACACACCCAAAGTACGATGTTTGGATCTCTCATAAGAGACCCAAACATATATGTATCAGGGAGGTGTGAGGGAACTCACTTTCCTGCTTATATTATTACGATACTATAATTTTTTTCTCATCTCAATCCAAAAATAGTTCAGTGCAATGACTAATCAACAAAATTCTTGGCCACTTGAGAAAATTGCATTAGACTAGACATTGGATATTCATATTTTATCTAGATCTAGCTATCACGAATGATTATAGACTTTGGTTTTTAAGGGGAAAGCGTACATTCAAGGCGTGAATAACGATTTTATAAACATTATCTAAAACTGCCCAAGGTCATTATTCAAATGATTATTATCTGCGTTATTAGATCAGGGAGCATATTGTTTATCAGTATCAAGCAGTATCTTTGTCTTTAACGATAAAAGAGATCCAGCAGTGATTGCATTTCGTTRGTTTTTTTTTCAGTGTCGCAATTTGATGAGAAAAATCCTTAACTTGCTAAAAAAAGTATTGAATATAACAAAACAAGGCTTGCGTGCATTGGGAATATTCTAGCATAAGCAAGGTTAATTCCAAAACTTCCTTGTCCTTTTGAAAACATTTCGGTTTATTTTTTAAATTATTATTTCATCTTACTCAAAGTTTAAAAGCTAAACATGAAAAGTCACCCTAGATTTCAGCTGCTTCATTCCACATGCTATATTTTCAGTATTCATCCCATCATCTATTCCCCCTAATTTTGGGGTATTTTTACTTATAAATTTCTCTATTAATKACGAGCTTAGCAGGGCTGAACAACTGATTGAACATGACGCTCATGAAAAATGAAGCGGAGACGATTGAAAACTACGCTTCCGGTTCAGTCTCCTCCCATATTTAAACCAACTACCCCACCAATGACGTCATTACAGCTTTCTCGAACATCAAGACTCCTATYGTGAGACAGCAGTATAAATTATAAGCTACAAAATGTGTTTATTTATCGTTTTGTTGTGTTTTATTTTGTTTTATTAACCCGATAAGGTTGTGTTTGATGCTAAATTAATTCACTTATGACGTCAAACTATTATTCTCAAAACAGGAAGAGGAAGACTGGAACTGACGGTCGCTAGGCATGATGGGTAAGCGAAGAGCAAGGACATAAAAACTCTGCGTAARGGGAAAAAAGTTTAGTCCAAAAAATACAAAATTGTAGCGAGAACTACAGTTATTTAACCCCTTATAAAACATGTACAGCTGAAGACAMGCATTTGGACTTTAACTTTAACCTGTTCAATGGATCCTGGAGTTATTTTGCTGTTCGTATGGACATGTTTTTTGGCCGTGTTTTCAAGCGGTGTTGCCGAAGTTTACACCAACACATGGGTGGTCTATACGGATAAAGGCAAAGAATRTGTCGATGAAATAGCAGAAAAAAATGGGTTTATTAATCATGGACAGCAGGGAGGACTCGAAGGGTACTATTTGCTTGAGCATAAAAACTTAGCAAGGCGGACGAGGCGGAGTTTGCATAGACATACGACGGATTTTTTACAAGAGACTCACATCAAATATGCTGAACAACAGAAGGTGCTTCGGCGACAGAAGCGAGAAGCTTTCAACGATCCTTATTATTCCGACCAGTGGTACCTACACAACACAGGTTAGTTAAACTATATTCTTACTTCTTGGTTCGAAATTATTTGTCAAAATGTTTCCATTATTTTCTATGGCGATATCGCTSGAAGCGAATAAACTACAGGTAATTTACCAAACTATGTTTATAGCTCATTCAAAACCATGGCTACATCGAGTTCTTCGAAATATCCATAACTTGATTTAAATCCAAAAATACTTTCTTTTCTGGCRAGAAAACTAGTTCTTGGAACAGTTACTAGTATTTCGTGGACAAACATTTAATCTTAAAATGAAAGCTCGTATGCCTCGGAGAAGCTTGAGTGTACCTACACAAGGGGAMGTTTGATGTTCCCGATCTATTTTGGCTACAATTATTTTATTTATAAACGAGACAGTAGTTATAATGTCTCTAGCTAAGAACGGTATGATGATTGTGACTGTTGTCTGGATATTGAGTAAGTTTAGCCAAGTCAGATTTTTTATCTCATGTGTGATAGATAACTCTTGAGCACAGACATTAGGTCTACGAATGTGCCATCTAAAACAGTACACTCAAGTTAGAACTCATTAAAGATTCTCAAAGAAAGCGCTTTTGTGTTTTTCGGTGTCCCTTGCATGATAAACAATAATGAAATGTCCTTGTTTCAATCAAGATCGCATCAAAATAAGATGGCATTTGTTTTTTCGATTTCACCACACTATCAACTCGCTCATGWTCTTTTGAAATCCAAAGTTAAATCTCCATTCGTTTCCAATAAAACTCATAAACCCTCTTCATAAGATCTTATCGAGACCTTAAGTTGTTCTTTATGCAAATCCTTTCTGATTCTTTAATGGATTTTYCGTTAGGCGCTTAACATTTATACCTTAGTGTTTATGGCTCCCATCCCTAATTATTCTCGCTTGCGTGGATAAGAAATTACTAGTATGACTTGTTATAAGATTGCAATATCGTTTCTTAACAATAAAGCGGTTAGTTTAGATGAAGAGCTCTATTCTATTTGTCGTACAAATTAGGAACATGTATAATGTTGCAAGATCCCATTACTGTTGGACATTCTGCTAAACGTCTGTTAAACTGACCGCTTGCAGAATCTATTTATCAGTCCTAGCGGGGCTGATAATCTACTTAACTAGGGGGCTCACGAAAGAGAGAGAGAACGTTAATCCACCTTTTAAAAACTAAACACCTCACTGAAAACCCTTGAGAATGGACTATATAGGGATCTAGTCAATGTGGTAGATAATCCCCAAGTTTTTTAGCCCAACTTTAAGCTTGTAAAATCATGATCAGTATGGCTGTCGCATGTGTCAGGTGGAAAGGCGGCTGGTCACCTTTGCAGATAAGGAGGAAATGAGTATCTGAAACATGTTAGCTCACACGTGGTGGAGTGAGATACTAACTAATTGCATCCTCTGTCATAGGATACTGGAAAAGTCTAATGTTTGTGTCAGATATATTTTGGGAATCTATATTGTGTGGTAATGTTGACTTGGAAGGAGCATCTGTTGTTTTTATTGCTGATCACTGATAATGCAATAGTGTTTACATGTGGAAACAATACAATGATTGGAATTCACTTAATTTGAAAGTCCAAGCATACACAAAAGGAAACAAATTCAAAATATGTACAACATTTCTTATCTATTTGTGCTTTGGAATGTCTTTCTTTGCAAACTTGACATAAAGTGTGAAGACTTGGATATTATTCATTTTGCTGCTAAGGATTACATGTCTTGTTTATCATAAATCACTCCTAAAGACACAATATCACAGTGAGAAAATATTATAAACACTACCTTTTGTGATTAAGCCCCAGGATAAAGCACTTTCATGCTTATTCTAACATTCTAAAGTCAACTTACATGTTAAAGTGAGATAGAGATAATATATTTCTTTATTATGATGATTAGCTACTTTAGTTGGACAAGACAGCATACTGTGAATAATCTTGTTACATTACACTGACTTGGAAGAAGTCCACTGATAGGACCTGAATCCTCTATAATTCCTTTATTCTCTTGCCTGTTGATACTTGATCCCTGCTAACTTGAGCAATCGCCATCTGTTCTCTGATAATAGCTGTCAATTACAAGTAGCATTATATGATGATTTATGTATCATTTTAACCTACACAAACACTTCAGTTTCAAATTTCTGTTTCTTAGGTACAGCTTCATTTATGTTTTAAAATATTGATGTTTCTAGAAGGGTCATGTAGTCAGTTCAAAGCATTGAATGGTTGCTGCTGTGTTTTATTATTGGTATTGTACTTCAGTTTCATTTAATGCTCATGTAATTCCACTGTGTTTGTATTGTTACTGATGAGATTTTTTGCTGGTTCTTATTTTTCATGGAAGAGTCACATACTTTGATCAAATTGTTTATATTCTCCTGTGACTTTTTCTGTGGACACTTGTAAAATGTTTTGTCATGTAAATAAATTACTGGTAAGCCTGCATACTGGTACTCTGTATTCATGTCAGTCTTAAAAGTAGCTAAAGCTGGTATGAAATAGGGTTGTATACACTGGTCAAAAGGGGATGGGTGGTGTACAATGTAGTGATTTACTGCTTGCCTCTCACCACTATGGTTGATTTTGAGCACTGGCTCATGTGTGAGTTGAGTTTGTTTGATGTGTTTTTCTTCCTCTTGCCACGAGGGTTTTTCTCTGGGCTCTATTGTTTTCCTTCCTCCATAAAAATCAACATGTGAGTTGAGTGTGGTATTTGGTAAATATAGAATGTAGTGGTAGTGCATGTGAAGGGAACTTCATGGAAGAGCCCCATAAAGTGAGTGATAGTTGTAAAATATAAGTTTGTATGTACAAGTGCCATCATTGTCTATAATATATATATGTTCAATCAAGAAAAATGTCAACTGATAGTATGAGGGGGGGGGAAGGATTTGTTCTTTTTATCTGTATTTTTTGACTCTGATTTCTATGGCTGCGCTACATCACAATCAAGAGGTCTATAACCTAGGGAYATAAATGTCGTACTTGCAACTAAGGTTTTTCTCAAGGTTGTCAATGACACTGCATAACATTAGGCCCTTGTAAGGTCCCCTTATATTGACATCTTACCATATATACTGTACAAAATTATGCAAGAGTTCTAAAACTAAAATTTATACAATGAGAATATTTTAGACTTTATACTGAATTAACTAATCATGCTATTGGAGCACTAATCCCTGAGCTAACCAATATTATGAATAGGTGTTATTTGTCCAAAATTAAAGTCTTGTGATAGGAATGTTCCAATTGCMCTATTTCACTTTGACGTCACTTCAAAACAATCTATTGTTTAAACGCAAAGGAACATGGTCGTTGGAGGGGGTCAAACCAACGCAAATTCACCGAAAATTGTTCTAAAACCCGTATCGATCCACGAAAAGAAGTAGAATAGCCAGCAAACTCTCAGAATATTTTTTAGTACATCTTAACACATATTATATCTGAAAACCAGGCCATTTTAGATTAAACTGTTTCACTAGGAGCAAATTTTGTTTAATTTTCTATTGGATTTGGCGATTCTATCCCCCACATAAACAAGCAGTGAAGTCATAGTGAAATAGGGCAATTGGAATTCTAATAATATTTTTTTTTACAATTTCAGGTCAAACACCAGGYCCAAAGGGCCTAGACATCAACATATTACCAGTGTGGAAAAAGAATATAACTGGCAAAAATGTAGTAGTTACAATATTAGATGATGGAATAGAATACACACACCCAGATTTAAAAGATAACTATGAAGCCTCGGCAAGCTGGGATTTTAATAGTCAGGATAGTGATCCCTTGCCAAGATATAGCAGGGATAATATTAATAAACATGGCACTAGGTAAGTTTACTGAATATATTTATATGTTTCTGCAGCATAATGTTAATCTATCCTGGGTCCTTGGAGAATTACAGTTGATTTCATAAAACTTGAGCTGCTCTGTTACTGAAAATGACTTATGTTGCTTATACTGACRGATGTGGAGTGGGGTAGTAAAGTATATAGATTTTTTATTTCAATAACCAAGCCACAACTCCATTTTGTTTGTAGCCAAAAAATCTTGATCATAAAAGTGTTGCTTGCGTTTGAYGTCAAAGCAGCTTGATCTGGGGGACAAAACAAAAGAATTTCAATCTCCTGAGAATTGGAACCTATTGTTTTGTCTCCCAGATTGAGCTGCATTTCAAATTGATGCAAGGGGTCTATATRAGTTTCCTTCACACCATAAAAATCAAAATGTGAGTTGAGTGTAGTGTGTTGTAAGTAATAATATTGTAGTGGTAGTGCATACAGAGCGAACCTCACTGGAGAGCTCCTTATATTACGGGTAAGGAGTGTTGTGAAATATCTTTTGAAGAGCAATGATGTAGGGCATAAATTTGCCAAGGTTTCTTGTTGTGCGTATTCTTACTAAAAAACTAAAGTATATACACATTTAATCAGAATAAATGAGCCAAAAAGAGTGAAAGCTTAAACCTGGGTCTTTAAGATATGCACTTTTTACATGTATTTTGGTGAAGCATGTTACTGTGWAGTGCACCTGTGTGTCATCATTATGCGTTATTATCAATGTTAAAATTGTTTCCTYGTGTTGTATGAATTATGAAACACCTTGTGGTGTTCCAAGAAAGCATGTCCCAATTTGAACTATTTTCACAAACAATACATYGTTCATAAGGTTAGATTTATCAACTGCCTGTACTGATTTAATTGGATAAGATTGTTAGATTACTGACTCTCTTTTTATTATCAAAATTAAAGCAAGTTTYATAAATGGATGTGGAACATGTGTCAGAGAATTGGGAACATCCTAAACAAGTGTGGATCCAGGAAAAAAAAGCTAGTTTTTCAGCATCAAAGAGCTAAGACTTAGTACTGGAATATAATCCATTTGCATTCTTTTGTAAACAAGTTAAATAGTAAATTAAGAAAATCTGGCCATAAAATCAACATGTGAGTTGAGTATTTAGTGTCAATGTTTGTGGAGTGAACCTCACGGAAGAGCCCTGTACCTACATGTAGAGTGATGGTTGAAAAATATGTTAAATTTTTAAGATAGTGAAAATAGGATCCATGCCTACTAAACTGTTGTAGGTTTTGCAAATTAAGGTCAGATAACTAAAAGTATAGGTTATGTATATAATTTAGACACTTTTGTGTCTTTTTTATTTCTAATTTAGTCCAACATGTCAAAAGAATTACTACGTAAAGTAACATTATTATATTGTGTTTTTAGAAGTGCAGGTGAAATTAAGGTCATATTAA